AATAGTCACATCCGAGTAAGTATCAAATGCGTGCTACCGTGTATTACTGTACTAAAAGTTAAAACGTGTATAAACAGTAAACACTACTGTAACTGCGTATTGGATGGGATAGGCATCTTATGATTTGACCGAAAAGAGAATAATATGAAGGCATAATTTCAGAAACTTCCCTGAGATTTCTGACTATTTCACTCAATTTCCTTGAAGTTTTAAAAATTACACTGACCTCCCTTAATTTGAAATTTTAGTAACTAAACCTTAAAATAAGGTCAAAAATTTAATGAATATCCTAAAATACCCTTATCTTATAAAGTTTAATTCATTTTTCAAAACAATTATAAAATAATTTGGCATAATTATTTCAAAAAAAGAAGTCTCAAGTTTTTCATGCCAATATTTGTTATTTAATAATTAACTATAACAATAAATCTTTTTTTATGATAAGATATTTTTTATAGTGTTTTATTAGGAATATAGATTCTTTTTAAGATAGAGAAGAAAGTATTATCTTGTGTTTTTTTTTTAAATTTATGGACTATTTTTTAATAAAAGTTTATGGACTAGTTTAATGATGGAACTACCATAGTTTGATAGTGATTTTGGGCCATTTATTTTTAATTATTGTTGATTTATTCTTAATTTTGATACAAATAAAAAGAGTTATAAAAAAATTGGATGATATTAAAAGTCATCAAAAAAATTACTAGTTTAATATTTAATTTGAATTGATATTAGTGACAATATTAATAGTTCTTCTATACTTCTAACGAAATATAAGAGAAATAAATAAGAATGAAAAAGGAAAAAAGTTATAAAATCCATCCATTCGTATAAACATGGCAACAAGAGAGTTTAATTAAAATATTAAGGTTAGTATTGTCATTTTAAATGAATAAGGGAGGTAGATGCAATTTTTGAAACTTTAAGGGAGCCACATTCAATTATCAGAAACCTCAAGGGAATTTCTGAAATTATGAAATGCAAAGAAAAAGTGTGCACAGATTGAGGTTGAACCAAGAAACTGCAACACAATTGGTCGTTCGTCCCAAGATCATATGAAATCATTCATGCCCCAAGCCAAATCCGGTCGCCATCCTCCTTTAGATCTTGCTTGAAATGCAAGCAGAAATTGAATCGTCAAAAGCCAAAAAGCAAAAGCCGAGAAACTAATGGGGAGTATAACTTTAACAAAAGCAACTATCCGTGTGAAGAAAATGTTAGGTCATGCCCTCTTCTCTTCTCTTTCTGTGGAGTGCGGTGGAGGAATTTGGTAACTTCTGGGCAACTTCTTAGAGAGAATACTTGAACGTAAAATAGTTTCAAACAAGTCGAATAAATACTTCATTACCATTATATGATATAGACGCATGCTGCATGTGTAGAGAAAAATTTTAGGCTAATAAATATGTATTTATTCTTGCTAGTTCGCGTCCAAAAACCTAACTCCACTCCTTGGAATATCAGCTAGTTTCGTGACCCTAAGGTCTCTAAATCAACTCTCAATCTCTTTTTTTTTTTCTTTTCTTATCTATTTTGGAGTTTGGTGTCTCCTTTAAATAATAATAAAAAAATAAAATCCACTAATGTAATAAAGTAATTACACTAGATAGATTAATCCTTAAACATTTATATGTAATTAATACACGAGGAAACGATCCTGTTGATCCCTTAAACTATTCGCTTTGCTCAGTTTCGACCCCTCAACTATAAATCGTCTAAAACAAGCCCCTGAGCCAAAAAAAAAAAGAAAAAAAGAAGAAGTCAAGTTTAAGGATTTTTGTTAATTTTCGGCGTTTGTAGTGGGCAAAATTGATCAGTTAGAAATAAGTCAACTTTTAGCCCCTGAACTAAATGCTATAGCACGGTTGTTTTAACTCCTAAACTAATCCCACAGCATTGCTCTATCCCCTAAACTTTTTCCACTGCCCTTCATTCCATCACTGCTAATACCTAAAGTCCTTAAAAATGATCTATATATATATATATTGTTCAGGGACTTATTTCAGACAATATATAGTTGAGGGGTCCGAACAAAGTGAATAGTTTAGAAGTCGTGCGGATTGTTTCCTCTTGGTACATTCATGATTATATTTAGGCAGATCAATTCGCACCTCAATTTTATCCTCTTTCCAAGATAACATTTTTTTCAAAAAATAAAATAAAATTTTTTTGTCACAATGTAGCCCCGCAAGCCCAACTCGTCACATTCTCACCATGATTAAACCCCTTCCCTTGTGGATGGCACCACTGCCCTTTGTAGCTCCGAAGGGTTCTTCCCACCGTGATTTCTCCAGTTGAATCCAATTCTAACCCGCCCCCAATGAGCAGCGCAAACACCTACCAAGATGTATCATGGCCGCACCCAAAGATTGATTGAACGTTTAACATGATTTTACAGGACAAAATAACTAAAAAAAACATGTTTAGTTGTTTAAAATGGCTTAAGTTTTTTTTTTCTTTCTCAATGGTAAAGTTGGTTTTCCTTAATTCAAAATTGAAGTTATATTTTCACTTGCAAGACTACGAGTTTTGCTTTCTTTTTCCTACCCCATCATGAACCTTGCTATTGATACTTTCAAAGAGTTTAATGTCGATCATTTTGCATGTATTTCAAGAATCTAGGAGAGAAAATGCGGGAGGATCCGGACAAGAGCAGGGTCCCCAAGACGTAGCTCAACTGATAGGAATAATAGCTAAGAATTGTAAAACTCTGGTTCGACATTCAAACTATCCTCTCACACTTTTTCCTAATAAGGTTTGCAGTGTCTCTCTAAAAAAAAAAAAAAAATTTTTTTTTTTGTTTTGATTTGCATGTGTTAACTTTTAGATAGCTCAGGCCTTATTAGAGCCCAAGCTCCACTGAACGGGATCAATTCGTAGGCCCAAGTTCTTCACTACTAAGTTAAAACCAATTCAAGTTTCTCTCTTCACTCTTAGCCCGTTGACCCGTTGAAATTCACCTCACTACTCTATACCCAAAGGCCCAAAACCACCAGTAGTTCAACGGGGATGAAAATTTCAGCTCCACTTCCAGGCACCACTGACCTATTTAACAAATAATTACTCCCAATAATGTATTGATGGATTGGTTTGGTTAGCATGATTTGTTAAAAAAAAAATTCTAATATTATTTAATTTAAATTATAATTACAATTTTCAACCTTTTTTTTTATCTCACAAACACAAAATCATAAAATGTGCTACAGTATTTTATTCTAAATAACTTTTTCCAAATAATCTCCTATCCAAACTCTAAATTATTAATCCAAAACTCCACAATCAATAGGAAATTTCAGTGCCCAGCTACACATTCACCCTAGGAATTGCAGTTTCAGAAAAGAAATAATCTTACCTTATGTTGCATTTTTGGACTCTTTTGAAGTAAGTTGTACTTTGACGAACAACAAAATTCAATGCTTTAAGCTAGCAAACGAGGACGTTCATTACTCAATTGAGAATCTTAAGACCATATATTTTTCCTTTTTGTCATACAAATGGAATTGGGAATTTGTGGATTTGATTTCTTTAAACAATTGAAGTATTTTATTTATTTATTTATTTTTGGAATAGTTGTGAAGTAAAAGTTACGCATATATAGCACTCCTTCCACTATTACTTATGCCCCTTAAGATTTTAGAAAATCGTGACAGTAAATCATTGATGGTAATACCTAACTGATAAAATGATAGGAAATCCGGCCTCTCCAATTCCAATTATGCCCATTTGCATAAATTAATAGAATAGAATTTTGGTGTAAATTGATAGTACAATTTTGGTATAATCGTAAATTCTAATTAAATTGGTATAAAATTCACAATTACACCGAAAACTTATTAGTTTATACTGTGATTGTACCAATTTACGCAACTAAACTAGATTGGACAGATCGAAATCCAAAGAGATAGGATAATAATAAATTTTTTTTTAAAAAAAAAAATTAGCGGCTGAGATGTTTGTAATTCTCACAATCACCGTCTATTATCTTCATATATATATATATATATATATATATATATATTTGAACCATTAAACGCATTGAAATTTTTCCTTTTTTTTGGTCCCTCATTATTATTACATTAGACAAGGGATAATTTCAGAAACCTCCCTGAGGTTTTTGACAATTTTATTGAGCTTCCTGAGATTTAAAAATTTATACATACCTCCCTTGTCATTCAAAATGACAATTTTACTCTTAAATATTTTAATAAAATTTCCTTATTTGGTATGCTTATATTTAGAATGAGTTTTAAAATTATTTTTTCATTCTTTTTCCTTGTTATTCCTTTTTTTTTAATTTTTTACCAATAAAACTGTAGAACTACCACTATTGTCTCTATTTTCTATTATAACCAAATGTCGAATTAGTGATTTTTTTGACGAATTAATTTTATATGTAATCCAATATTTTTACTGATATTTGTTTTCTAGTTTTTTGGTATTAAAATTAACAATAAATCAAAAGAAGACCCAAAAGCACTACTAAATTATGATAATCCCACTACTTCAAAAATTCATAAACTCTAAATAAATTATTTCAACGTTTTCTTTTCTATATTATAAATATAAATCTACAATAAAATACCATCAAAAGTATCATATCATAGTAATAAAATTATTATTATAGCTGTTTTTCAAATAGCAGATATGAACATGAAAAATTTGGCACATTTTCCTTATAATTATACTAAATAATCTTATAATTGTATAGGAAAATAAACTAAAACTCATTACACAAGGGTATTTTTGTGTATACATTTAAAAATTGACAAAGTCAATATTATTTTAAGGTTTTGTTACTAAAATTATCAAATCAAGGAAGGTAGGTGTAATTATCCAAACCTTAGGGGAGCTCAGTGAAATTGTCAGAAACCTCAGGGGAGGTTTCTGAAATTATCCCTAAAATTAAAAAAAAAAAAAAATTGGTTAGTTCCTTATAAGGGGAGTAGCTTTGCCCGTCTTTGTGCCCTAATGGTCCTCTATAAAATTGGGCAAATGTTAGGGAAGTCGCCAGTCTCGGCTTCTCTCCGCTGTGTCTCTAATCATCGCTCAAACGCCGTCGCTCCTCCCCTCTTCGGCTTACTTCTGTCGCAGGTGACTTTCGCCAGGGATTCTTTCCTTGTGAGGCGAAAGTCACCTGTGACAGACAGGAATCGAAGAATTGAAGAGCCAAGGCGTTGTTGAGCGGATTTCTACTCAATTCTCAATTAAATTTCATTTATGGTGATAGGTCTTTTTTCGCTGGTTAGTTCTTAAGTGCCTCCCATATGTTTGTGCTAATGCCTCAGTCAGTAGTTGTAGCTTTTCTATTGCATTTTGTTTCTGTTAAGATTGAGGGATTAATTGTTTGTAAATCTTAGCCAACATTGTGCATTTAAAGATCCTCCCTTTTTTGATTGAAATCTGGAGTCGGGTTAATTAGTTTGCTCATGATCCGTGTCAGTCTCAGGATTATTTGTTTCTTGAATCTACAAGGTTCTCGCAGGATTATTCTTTTCGTTGTTGTGCATCATGCTTTGTGATTTCGATAAATGTATAGCTGAATTTGATTTGGCAGTGCTTTGTTAAAATGACATGAGAAATTTGATGTGTTTCTTGTGTAGATTATGATTACCATGCCAAGCTGCTATTGCTAGATGCGATCTAGAGTTCTTGTATCAGCTAGAAGACTGAGATTGGCTTGCTATATGAGAGTGTTGTTTGGTGGATTCTCAGTACCAAGCCAAGCCATTGTTGCTGATGGAGGTCTAGATGTCTTTTATTAGCTGGATAATAAATTATATTAAATTCTTTTACCTTGCAAGGATCCTAAGATTTTTAATTAGGCCGTGTATCCGAAGAGCAGATGATGCTGGCTTAATTTGTTTCATTTGTTTACTTAACCAAGCAAGCGTTTGTGTCTCAAAAATCATTAATTGATTCAAGAGTTATCAAACTTCAGTTGACAATTTTGGTAGGCTTGGAGAAAGTGACAGGCAATAGTTATGCAATGATAACAGTATGGGGTAAAGGTTTGTGCCTCAGTTTTCTTTTATTTTATGGCTGTAATGTTGAAAGAAATTGATCACAAAAAATAGATTGCAGAGTTGGGGAGTAGCAGTGGAGTCAGCTTCCTGTGAATTGTGTAGAGGTACTGATGAAACTATGGAACATTTGTTTTTCAGTTGAATTGTTTCCTCTGTAGTTTGGAACAAAGTGCTGCTGCTCTGTTTAACCTGTAGGAGTTGTTTGCTTAGTCTGCAGAGCTGGAATGGATATGTGATCTCTAGAAGACTAATTCCTTTATTGATCAGGTAAAGTGGTTGGCTTTCTCTGCCATGCTATATCACCCATGGAGAGCAAGAAACCAAGGCTATCTTTCAAAGAATCCCTGTATTCACTGTTAGTGTAGTTGCCGCTGTGGTTGCATCAGTTAGAGATACAGTTGGAGGTTGGAAGAAGTTTCCTTGTACTAAGCCAAATTGGGATTTGGCTTGAAAGTTAGGACTGCCATTTCAGTGCTTTAAATGAAAGGGTCCTCTGTAATAAAATAGTGTTTCTGAATTGATGTATTTGGAATATTGTATTCCTTGGCTGCACTACTGGCTACTTTATTGTTGATCAGTGAAGAGGGTTCATGTTGCTAAAGAAAAGAAAAAATGAAGAGAGTCTCAGGTTGTGAGGAACTTTAGTAATATGTTTCTGTTTGTAATTAATTTAGTTAATTGTTCTGCATTTAGATCAATTTTTGTTCCACATAATCTTAGCATGTAGTTGGTCATCTCATGCTACTTGCATTTTACATTATTTCACAAAGGATATTGCAGAAGGGCTTTGGAGATGATCGTATGACTGCCTCTTTTGGGGATCTGATAAGAATTATTCAAGCTGCATTTTCTTGATTTTCAGGTGTGGAATGGGGTAGAAGCAATTTGTGTAACTATTTATCTTTGAATTCCTGTGTTGTTTTCTGCATGGTGGAAATAAAATGCCTTGAGATGTCGCTATTTTAAGGATGACTTTTATATAGAAAAGAAATTTATGATTAACTACTCCTAGCAACACATTATTCATTAACAATTGATTTAACAGGTCTGACAAATAATATTGATGCTTTGCCTTGCATAGCCTCATGGACTGCAGGTGAACTTCTCTCACAGATGTTAGTTATTGGAACTTAAAGCACCAGATGGAGCTTCTATGGCCTTTGGCAGATCTGGCTTTTTTGTCGACATCTTTTTGGACTTCTAGATCTAATTCATTTTAAGTCCAAGGTGTTTGTTACTATGCACTCCTTGTTGTAGACAGGATTGGTGTATCAGATTAAAGATACCTCTTTGTAACAAAGTTTGGTTTGTAAACTGCACTTGCAAGTATGCGTTCTCTAGAGTTTTGGACAACTAGTGTTAGATTGAGTGCGATTTTCTTTTGTTGTATAGCTTATTGTTTGGAGCCCATGCTATATAGCTTATCACAGTGCTGAAGAGGTTCAATTTTTTTGTAATTTATATTGACACTTCACATAGCTCTTTACATGAAATCCAGTATGCATTTTGGGTGAGATTTAGATGAGGGTCTGCAGTAAGCATTTTGGGTTGAGATTCGGCGGAAGGTACCAGGCCCTCTACCTCACAAGTTCCCGTTCTCTCCCCACCATCCCACAGCACCTAAAATTCTAAAAAGTGGGTCAGCAGTCACGACCACCCACAGCAGATGCCTTGCAACGGTGCCAACATTTAAGAAGTGAAACATGCTGCTATGTTTGGAAACTGAATATTAACTTCCAGGTGATTTCATCTCTGTATTCTGGAGGTTTTGCGTAATTTCAATTTAGTCCATGAAGTTTAATTTGTTACGTGAGCTTAACAGTTTCAATTGACTAATTATCACTCCACAAGTTTGATTCAACCTAAGGGCCTGTAATAAGATTGAAGTCCGAAATCTGACAATTAAATGCTGAAAGTATTAATTTACTGAATTGATTAGGTTATATTTATTTGATAACTAACCAAATTATAGTGCTGAATTGAAATATCGCAGAAATATTATTTTTTATCTTTAAAAAATTGCCTTTATTTGTGTATCTAGAGAGAAAGAAAAGTATGTATATGTGTGTTTGAGAGAGAGAGAGAGAGAAAACAATATAACAATTTCGAGGTGCTGTTTAAGTGTGAATATTTTGTAGGAGAGTGTATATTTGCATGAGTGTATGTGTATGAACAGAAAGAGAACAAATGTGTATTTTTTGCGAGAACATGTATGAGAATGTGTTTTATGTATGAGAGTTATAGTATGTGTAGTACTCCCTCCCTTTTTTTATAACTGACGTTTAAGGTTTTGCACACCAATTAAGAAAAGTTTTTCATTGCTTAAATCTGTACACTATTTTTCTTTTATATCCTCATTAATTGTCCAATTCACCCATGTTTTCTCTCATTAGAGTACTAAATGGTGCTGTTTTACTAGGTCAAAAGCAATGCAAACTAACTCCCACTAAACTAAATGTTTCTAAAATGAAAAACTTTCCCACCAAAAATTTTCACCTAAATTTTTAATCTGAAATTTTAAACATTTTTAACTCCCACCAAATATTTTGAGAGGCTATAAGGACTTCACTATATAAACTAGTCTCAAGAGAAATACATTATTTGTATTCTTTGCAGGTTCATTCAAATCAATACATAATGGAGCTTTATGTATTTTGGCACATTCGACTTCAACTTCTGCATCTTCATCCTCTCTTGTTTCTTCAAAAGAATCTTCAACCACTTGTTTAATTAACTCATCTTCAAATTCTTGGTCCATTCAACTTTTCAACCCCCAAAGATGGTTGAAGTGCAAGTGGTTGATGCGGAGGGAGGCGGTGATGGAGAAGAACAAAGGGGGTTCAACATACTGCGAGAAAAGAAGAAAGAATACGGAGGGGCAGATAATTACTAGGGCTGTTACAAAGAGAGAAGCAATAATTATTAGGAGTAGTAATTAAGAACGCTGTATTGGAAAAGAGAGATAAAAGGGTAAAATTGTGAAAAAATAATTAATACTGTATGGGGATAATAAAACGACAGATAAAAGTACACTAGAGCAAATTTCTTAAACGTCAGTTATAAAAAAAGGGAGATGAATACACTCCCTCCCTTTTTTTATTACTGACGTTTAAGAAATTTGCTCTAATGTACTTTTATCTGTCGTTTTATTATCTCCATACAGTATTAATTATTTTTTCACAATTTTACCCTTTTATCTCTCTTTTCCAATACAGCGTTCTTAATTACTACTCCTAGTAATTATTGCTTCTCTCTTTGTAACAGCCCTAGTAATTATCTGCCCCTCCGTATTCTTTCTTCTTTTCTCGCAGTATGTTGAACCCCCTTTGTTCTTCTCCATCACCGCCTCCCTCCGCATCAACCACTTGCACTTCAACCATCTTTGGGGGTTGAAAAGTTGAATGGACCAAGAATTTGAAGATGAGTTAATTAAACAAGTGGTTGAAGATTCTTTTGAAGAAACAAGAGAGGATGAAGATGCAGAAGTTGAAGTCGAATGTGCCAAAATACATAAAGCTCCATTATGTATTGATTTGAATGAACCTGCAAAGAATACAAATAATGTATTTCTCTTGAGACTAGTTTATACAGTGAAGTCCTTATAGCCTCTCAAAATATTTGGTGGGAGTTAAAAATGTTTAAAATTTCAGATTAAAAATTTAGGTGAAAATTTTTGGTGGGAAAGTTTTTCATTTTAGAAACATTTAGTTTGGTGGGAGTTAGTTTGCATTGCTTTTGGCCTAGTAAAACAGCATCATTTAGTACTCTAGTGAGAGAAAATATGAGTGAATTGGACAATTAATGAGGGTACAAAAGGAAAGTAGTGTACAGATTTAAGCAATGAAAAACTTTTCTTAATTGGTGTGCAAAACCTTAAACGTCAGTTATAAAAAAAGGGAGGGAGTAAATTAATTTTTAGCATTAAATAGAGTTATCAAACAAGCACTAAAAATAGAAAAACTAAAGTACCTTTTTTAAGGCCTTTAAAGCACGCATTCAAGCTGATGTTCGTCTGTCTGAACGTTGGGAGAATATTAGCTCATTAAATGTCATTGGCTATTTAAAATGCATTTTTTTTAATGAAAAGTTGAGAAGCAATTAGAATTTAGATCAACTAAGGTTAAGTTTGGATTGAGAGATTTGACAAAAAATTTGAAATTCTCTCAAAACCCTTTAGATTGAGCGGATGAATTGAGGGATATTTAGATTTATAATCTACCAATTATTTTAGGGTTTAAATATTTTTAAATAATTAATAGATTGCAAACCCAAATACCTCCCAAGTAATTCAAACAAGCTGAGAGAGATTTGAGAGAATTTCAAACCTTTCTTTCGTCAAATGCCTCAATTCAAAAGAAGGAAATTGAAATGTTTGTGATATATATTGCCTTTGAAAGTTTACTTTTTTTTTTTTTGGATTATATGTTTATTTAAGTTTATCTTTGTCTTTATTGGAATTTCCGCGGTGACGTAACCCATTTCAACTGTATATTTGCCAAAGAAATTAACATTTAACCAAAATCGTTAAGAGGGGCCAAATCTGCCTAATACTTAAATTTAAGGATGCAAACTGAAATTAAACGAATGGCAAAGTGGAATTCACCCTAATACTATTGTGTTACCGCATTCACTGGGGTGCTGGAGCAAATTTTATGTCCTTTTTACTCAATTATTTTATGATTGATACATTTTCATTTCCTTTCTCTAATAGAATTATCAGTACAATTTTCTGCGGATTTGCTTTGACAATGACCATATGGATAGTATACATGCCTGCTGAGTAATTTTTCTGCAAAGGAGGGATATACCTTGGTCTCCTGCCCAAAAAAAGGGAGAAAGTGGAGAGGAAAGGATCAAGAGCACGGACGGTTGTCATGGAAGGGTGAAAATTTCTGAATGAGTTGTAATTCAAATTGAATTGTTGTACATTCTTACAATAGACACGTAATTATTATACATGAGACCCGCATGAATAATAATATAATATTATATCTCTGTTGTAAAGATGTATAATCTGTTGAATTTGAATTACAATCCGTTCAAATATCGTTACACCGTTCCATACGATTGTCAGTGACAATTGTCCGTGCCCTGCTTCGAGAGGAGGTAGTCATGGTGATAGTAGGAGTTTTCCCTATGAATAATTTCTCTCAATGAAACAAGAAACTAATGTGGAATTATGATAAAAGTACAATAACATTGATAGGAAATCCCATTTTACATCAACAATTAATAAATTTTCTTTTTCAAACCCTTCCATCCCTCCCTACACTTTTGCTACTCCAACTTCCAGACACATAATTTGAACTCTAAATCTGACTAGGAGAAGGCCTCTGTGAGCCCTTCCGTGACCACTGGACAATAATTAATAAGCAATATCATCTGAAAACCAAATCTACATCACTAGTTTGTCGCAGTTTCGTGACTTTCGCCATAGGAAAATATGTATGCTTGGACTTCGAATCTTCAGTCTCCAAATTAGTCTCTATTCTCTTTATCCCCAAATATATATAGTCTTTGTGACTTTCGAGACTAATTTGGGGACAGAAGATTCGAAACCGTATGCTTGGTACTTGTCACTTCACAAACACGGATGGTAAGGAAAATTTGCTGCTGTGTTTGGAGTGTTGAGAGAATTGGAATTTGTGTGGAAATGAACTTGGATTTTATAGAATTTAGTACTATAATTTCTGTAGAATACAATTTTAATTCCAGACAAATTTCAATCCTCTCGAGGGACCTCCCACAGCCTTAAGAATATAACAAACATGGTCAAGTATTCCCCGAGACCTGCAAGGATCATCAATTAAAGAGCTGAATCAGTCTGCAGAATTTAAGCCATTAAAAATAATTTGTAAAATGAGATTTTGACCAAATTTGAACAGATCTACCTCTGTATTTAGTTACAAAATATATTCACTAAATGCACAATTGTCTAATGAAAAATAACACATTTATCTTCCATAATATTCGTCATGTATATCATTGTACCCTAGGGGAAAAAAAGAATAAAAAAAGAGTAATCTTCAATCTTCCTAGCCTTGGACTCTATTCAACCGGTTTATTCATGTTTTTCACAAAAAAAAAAAAAAGAACTTGACAGTCGAAGCATGAATCTTACAATCACTTAGCTAATGTCTCTGACCGCTTCTATGCTGGGTGTCGAGAACACCCTTTTTGTCTATTGTTCGATTGAAATAGTAATTAAAGAGTATTGATGCTATCCATAGCCATTAAAACAATAAATGTTGATTGCATATGCTATCAATAACCCCCAACCCTGCCGCAGAAATGGAATGGAAACTAAACAAAAGTGGTATTGTGAAAGGTAGAGTTAGTGTTTTGACAAAAAAAAAGAAAGGTAGAGTTAGTGATAAATACCATGCCTAAATGCCCTCTTCAATCATTCCTAGTCCCACGTATTTTGCAGGACATATGGCAAAACACCTGTTAAAAACTCATCGAGCAAATGAAAGAAGATCAAAACATTTAAGAAAATTAAATATTAAATAAAAAGAGTTT